GAGTGCGCGAAATGCAGGCGAGAGTGCGATTTGACCCGGTCCGGAGCAACCCTCTGCGGAGATCGTGCGTGTCGAGTGCGCGAAATGCAGGCGAGAGCGGCGACTTTGTAGTACAACTTTAGTACGCTGTGGAGCTGGAAGCTGAGAACTGGCGAGTTTGTAGCACAATGACAGTACGCGGAGCAATCTGTGGAGCTGGAAGCTGAGAACTGGGGACTTTGTAGTACAACTGTAGTACGCGGAGGAATCTGTGGAGCTGGAAGCTGAGAACTGGCGACTTGCTAGTACAACTTGAGTGCGCGGAGTCTCTGGGGAGCTGGCTTTCCAGTACAACTTTAGTACGCGGAGCAATCTGTGGAGCTGGAAGATGAGAACTGGCGACTTTGTGGTACAGCTGCAGTACGCGGAGTAGGTGGGGAGCTGGAAGCTGAGAACTGACGACTTGTAGTACAACTTTAGTACGCGGAGTATCTGAGGAGCTGGAAGATGAGAACTTGGAGAATTGGCGCTTCATTTGTGGAGGAAGTCTTGTACGAAACACCGCAGATCTCCCTCTCAACCCCCCACACTCCCACATATCGGCGTCGCTCGATCACACCTGCGCATCCACATAGTCACTCCTTCACATCCGCCCTCTCCCTCTTTCTTTATACACATCTTTTCTCTGAATAGTTTACCTTGTGTCTAGAGGTCATGCCTTTGGGACGTCAATTTGAACTATCGGCTTGCGCGGAATTACTCGAAAATCTCCTGTCTCGCATGTTTGAGGGGTTCTTTCACGATGTTCTGTGGAGCACTTGAAGAGTTTGAGCCTGGACCTGCGTCGAGCGATGACGTCACCGTTGTGGTTGGAGCCTTACGTGGAGTCAGTGCTGCAAGGCTAGACAGAATTTGGAGGACATTCGAATAGCGATTACGCAAACAATGCCTTTAAGTGTCGGTGGCGGATGGATGGAGGATGAACTCCGTGGTCGGAGTGTCTGGAGCTTGGATGTTTGCATGGAGCTGGTGAAGAGATTGCAAGTTTGAATGGGTACAGGTTGCTATACAGAATTTAGATGATACATGTTTTCAACGATATTTGAACAGTGATGACGGAAACAATACCTTTAGGTGTCGGTGGCGGATGGATGCCGGATGAACTTGGTGGTCGGAGTGTCTCCGGAGCTTGGACGTTTGCACGGAGCTAGGGAAGGCATTGTAAGTTTGAATGAGTGCACGTTGCTAGCAGAACATGCTTGCGGAACACGCTTTTGGTTCGAGTCGCGTACCCGGGACGCGCGGCGTTGTAGCACGCCGACTGTTCTGTCATTAAAAGGGATTGTCCGCGATAATGGAGCAGTTACCGCGCACATCACAGGGTCTGTGATGGGAAGAGTTCCGCAACAATACCAGGAACCAGGGAGCGGAATGGCTTCGTGGATGTTTACAAGAGTTGGGACGGGATGAGCTGCGCAGCTTGTTAAGTAACGCCGGCAGGAGGTTGGCAGTGACTGTTTCTTGCTGATGAGAATTGGGTTGTCTTTTGCAAGCCTATGCCTTGTTGCAGGCGAGCTCGTCTTCAAGGTCTGCAGCGGAAGCTCGATGGGAGGAGTTCCGGACCAATGCCGTGAACGAGGGAGCGGAATGGCTTCGTGGACGTTTGCAAGAGTTGGGAGCGGTAGAGCTACGCAGTGTAGCTGTTGCCGGAGGCATCAGGGCCAATATAGGCGCGAGATGGATGCCGGTTGCACAACCGCACTCTGCGTTGATGGAAGCCTTGGCGCCAACAGAGCAGGCTCAGGCGCTGTGTTCGGATAGAGGTAGGGACATATTCAAACAATGACCTTGGAGAAGTTCTTTTCGCGCTGGTGTTTGAGGTTGAGGTTTGTTGCTGGGGTTGAGGTTTGTACGCCACTCAACAGATAACTCGCACTCTGACTTCCTACGCGATGAAAGATGCTGTCGGGCCACTCGTCGTCTAGTTTGTCTGCCTTGAGAGTGGAACATTTGTTGCGACATCAGGCGGTCGCGTTACTGTCCTGTGCGCTACTGAGTATATCAGAGGAAAGGCGACGTGGGTGGCTGGTGTCGCTTGATAGGGTTCAGCACCCAAACAGACATGTTGGAAGTGGCTGCCCGTTTGTGGGATGTGCACACAAGCAAATCTGGCGCGAATGGGACCTGATGGATGGTTACGAAGATCGTGAAAATGTTGGCGTCGATGTGATATGGGTGTTCACGCTTATCGCGCGTTATCGATGTTGAGAGAAGGGTAAGCTTTTGGTCTGCAGGTGCTGGGTAAGTCAGTGTTGCGAAGTCTTTGTCTTATAGAGGCTTGTCGCAGGCTGTGCTGGACATACTCTGGGGCGCGAAGGCCTTGGTGGTGGACGAAGACGGAGAGTTGCGTCAGCGACGAGGCAAGCTGGATGTCGCAGACGTGGTGTATTTGAGCTGGAGATATGGTTGGGAGAGATCCGCAGGAGGAGTGGACATCTGTTCTTGGTCAGAGTGTTTTCCTGCAGCTCACTATCAGAACAAGAAGTACGTGCAATTTGCGTGGATGCTGGTCACACAACTACTTCATCCGCGCAACACACCTTCGTTACAAGCTCTTCGCGCCCGTCACAGCCCAGCGCTTGCGCGAGAACTGCGTGCTGCCAGGACCCGTAATGTTTCTCCGAGGCATCGACGAAACCGTCCATGAGAGGTCTGTGGAATTCTGTCTATGCGCTTCACTCTGCCGAAACAATAGTGTTTGTCGGACAGACGAAGAAAGCTGTGGGCGCGGGTAATAAAAACATGTAAATAATACATTCTCTAGGTTCTGGTACTCGTTTGCTTGACGGTCGGGGCTGTCCGAGCGAAGCAAACAAGAGTACCGTGACGAGGAGGAAGCGCGCAGAGTAGCGCGTGTATATATCAATTTGTTAGATGAGAGCAACCATGTGTGGTTGTCCTGTCGCGAATGTTTGGTCGTTTCTGTGTCGGGTTCGGTGTTGAGTCTATGGCCTTGCTCGGACAGGAGTGGTATTTCGCCGGTGGTGGTACAGTTGGAACTGGATATACGGCAATGGCAGGAAGAACAGCACTGCGCTCGACTACCGACTGCCGACGAAGACAGCGTCCTGCATAGGCGCATCGCGAACTACTGCAACAAGGAGAAGAGCGCGCGTTGTCGCTTGATGCGAGCTGCATATCCTGCCGATGTGGAGAATATTCAGGAATTGAAGTTGGATTGTTTGGAGGCCTCGGATGACGGTGATGGGTGTGTGAAGTGGAGATCGGACGTAGAGAGGCAAATGATGCAGTCCATTCCTGGGCGGCCTGAAGGTGATGTGGTGATGTTTCGTGCCACTGGACGCAGTACTGTTTTCTGGTGTACTGTCGACGTGGATATGGATGGCGAGACAGCCATGGTTGCGGAAAGGCCACACACCCAGACGGCCAAAGAAGTCTTTGCGCTGTTGGCCAATGTAAACCTGAAGTTTGAGACCAAGTTGCGCAGAGCGGCACAGATGTTGGCCTGCACACCCACCTTTACTGGAGTCGGTGGAGCGTTGTCGCGTTTAGTGTTTTACTCTCAGGAGGAGGATAACGTGGAGAAACCGTTACAGCGGTTTCAGTGTCGTTTGCGCGACGTCGGCGCTACTGGAGAAAGAGCCTTCTTGGATCATGTTATGGAGAAGCACAGCGGTGGCGCAGATTAAAGTCGTGCACTCATCGAGTATCGGAAGAAGGTCGTCGGATTAGCAACGCACTTGGGACCTTCAGATGCTTGGCTTATATGTCACAGAGACGCTATGAAGATGTTCGGGTTACGTCGGTTCCGAGTAAAATATATAGGCGGGATGAAGCGCACACCAAACACGTTTGTGTGCGCTTCATGCGGGTGAACTTAGATGGATGTGGGCTCTACTCCGGTCGAAAATGATCCAAGCGAGGAGTGAAGGTTAAGCAGGACGAGGCGCAGGTAAAACAGACTTACGCGCGCTGCAGTGTGGTCCACTGACGTGGACACGCGCGTCATTGACCCCAAATGCATCCAACCACACGGTCAATTTGAAGCCGGACGAAGCGCACACCAAGCGCATGTGCGTGCCATCATTCTGGTCAACTACTTGGCTTTGTATGTGAGAGGGACGCTATGAAAATTTTCGGGGCGCATTGGTTCCGAGTAAAGTATCAGCGGGATGAAGTTAAGCGCACGCAAAACACAGTCGTGTGCGCTTCATTCTGGTCAACTTAGATTGATGTGGGCTGTACTCCGGTCGAAAATGATCAAAGCAAGGACTGAAGTTTAAGGGGGGCGAAGCGCACACAAAGCACGCTTGTGTGCGCATCATGCAGGTGAACTTAGATTGAAGCTTGTTTCATTGTGTTCGACATGTGAGGTCACGAGCTTCGCCACACAGCGTCGCTTGATGGAGAACGCAGATGAGAGGCTCAGACAACCGGATCAAGGAGGCCGCTTCGAGACGGGCTGCGTGGTATGCCCGCGTAGCCTTTGGCGAGAGCAGCTGAAGATGTTGATTTTGTTCCAAGATCCTACGGGCAACTCCGAGCTGGGGGAGAGTGCAGTGGAGGCAATTACGCCTGGACAACAGGAGCGCTTACGTCGACTTCTCGGGGTGGAGACATACAGTCGACGCTGGCCCCACATTCCGGCGACGGAATTGCGCGCGTCTGCTGTGGAGCATCCGTATTGCACGGGGGGGCACCTGCTGTTGGTCGGTATGGAGGGTCACCGGAGTCAGGTCCGTCCACTGGGACATGCAGCTTCGTGGCACTATATGGTTCGGCGCACTTGTTCGTGACCCCCAACATTGCCGATGTGCGCTCAGCTTTGCTGCTATACAATTGCACCACCAGGCCACGAAGGTTGAAGAGCACGGCGTCGATTTGGATTGGGCGGTGGAGATGCCGCAGTTGCCGAGCGCGGCGTCGATGCGGCGCATTGTCGCTCGCGACCCCGTGGCCCAAGCCCGCTGTTTTGCTTTCATGATGGACATCTTTTGTGAAGAAGTTCTGGGCATTCTTCCTCCCTTGAGAAAAGGAAGTTATCGTGTGGGTGCGCCGGCCCGCCGGCTACCTTCGAAGATGGTGTGGGCAGTTCTTTGCAAGGAGTCATTTTTGGCGATGTTGCGGCTTTGAATGGTCCGTTGGAGACCCAAGGCCGCGGTTCCTTACACCCTCACATGCTGATTGTTTTGCTGGGACACGATTTGGGAGATCGTTTGCGCACGCTCATGCATCGGTCGCAACATGGTGAGTTGGTCATCGAGCTGGAGCCGGCGTGTGTTGGAGGCTGTTCAACGTTATCAATACGATTCTCAACTGGCACTGTCGCAGCAACTCCATTGTCCGACGGAGCCCCTACCGCTGAGTGAACGCCAGCGATCGGAGTGCGGCCATCAATATGAGACCATCGCCTTGGTTCCCACAGAACCAGATGGACATGAAGTGGAAGCGTTGAAAGGAGGTGGATCTCTGGCCGCCAAGCTTTTGACGTTGACGGGCTGTTATGCATCCTTGCGACCGAAGTATCTGCGACGCAGTGAGCGTGCGGTGGGAGATGCTGTGTGGTGGAGGAAGAATTTTAGTGAGGATTACAGGCGTTTGGTGATCCAGAATCATTTCCACAAATGCACGACATCCTGCTTCAAGAAGCTTCTTGTACTGAATTCAGTTTGTTTGGTTTTCTTGCCTTTGCTTTCTGATCGTTCCTGCGCTTGATGACGTTATGCTCTTGTTGCGGTTACGATTTCCACTGTCGTGGTTTTGGCTGTCGTGGGAGGTGTAGCGGTACTGCCCATCAATATGTATGTCCAGAGTGGTCAGCCTGACAGACTCAGGAAAGCCGTGAAGGGCAAACGTGGATGTCGTTTCGGTTGCTTTCATATTGAAATGATCCGAGACCAGGACGACAAACCGAAAGCGCTCTGCTGGAAAGGTTGGCCTCGAGCGTCGAAAGCCGGGTTTTCCAGATTGCAATATGATACGGAGGAGCTGATGGAGATGGAAGAGTTCAAGAACGAAAATCCTCATGTGTTCCGGGCCCAACGGGATCGTCCCTTTGCATGAGGGAATGTCCAACCCGGTCGCACAAACGGTGATGCGATGCAATGTGGACGTGAAGTACATCGGCCGCACCTTCGCAGAGGCTGACCTCTTGACATTCTGCGATGGCACGGTGCACGAGGAGCTGGGACTTGAAGTTCCTGTTTCTGCATCTTCTCCGTCGGGACTGTCCGGGAGTGGATTGCAGGAGATGGAACTTCAGGGCCCGGCTCCAAGTTCTACCGCTCGCACAGCGCAGGCTGCGACAGAGACCCCGAGCAGTACAGTCGCTGGATCGAGCTCCGACCTGCCACACGTGGAGCAAGCCCTTGCTACTGGGTTGGATGGCGGAGAGTCGTTGCCGAAGAAAGGACGCACCGCCCGTGCATTGGACACTGAGCCGACAAAGATGCGGGCCATGAGAAAGGCGCTGCAACGCATTCTGGTGGATCTTTCAAGGGACGTGCAAGATGTTGGCTTTTACACTGGTGAATATGCTTTGAAGAAATTTCAAATTTCGCGGAGCATGCTGCCTGAATTGTATGCAGGAGTGCTGTTGTGGTGGAGAGAGTTGTTTTTTCGTGCATATTTGGAAAGATATCATGACTGTATGGACTACTAGTTTCAGTAGCGCGGCGTGCCATGATTTGTAGGTTGGCTGTTCATTCAGTGTGGATGCTTGCGGGACCGACGCAGGAGTTAAACGATTCGAAGAGGAAGAAAAGAAGAAAGAAGAGAACTCTGCGGCGGGGACTGAGCCAGAAGTGGCAGGGGGAAACAGAGTCAGCGTCATGAGCGGACAACAGAGTCGCGCGCTGATGATTTTGCGACGGCTGGCCTTTGCAATGGGGAGATGGCGTACCAGTTACTCTTCGAGCAGGAGCACATTGCGACGTATCGTGGTTAGAATATGTTTTTCCGGTACGTGCCTTTCGCGATGATGCGATGCAGGCAGGAGGACATGGAGAATGTCTTGCAGCAGAAACCGCATTTGAAGAGCGCTCCTTTGGACGTGGTTGAAGATCCTGAAGGACAGGGACCAGTGGCTGTGGATGAGATTGCTGATGTTATGGAGGAGGAAGGTGAAGCACGCGCCGTCCACCAGGCGCATGTGAACTTGCAACCAGAAAGACGATTACCTGCACAGGGGCTCTTCTGTGTTACTGCAATGCATGTCCCTGGTGATGTATTCTCGTCTTGCGCGGAGGGTTTCGAGGAACAAAGCTGGCAAAGTGGACGGAGTGAAATTCTTTAATTTCGATGAGCATTATCCTCACTATCATTCTTCTGTTCAGGCCTGTCTGGGAATTGTGTCCAGACAACTACGTAATGGAGATCCGAGACGTTCAGAGAGCAGTTGTGTTTGTATATGTTGCAGAGACCACATCTGATCCATGCAAGTAGTAAATACGACGCTGGCTATTATGTGAACATTTGCTCTGAAGTTTTGTTCTTGTTCGAAAGCCAGTGTCTGCAACCGCCTACGCAGGAGGTGAGAGCAGCAGATGACAACGTAGTGGTACCGGCGAACTTGCATCTAATAGCTGATGTGGAAGTGCAAAAATATGCTGCTCACATGTTGGGACTGTCGTCTTATCCTTTTCCGACCTGCGCTGGGGATTGTCGTCTATCACATCGATGCTTTGCTTGCCACACCATGGTGGAGGATGACAAGGAAGGCGTGCTCCGCGCGCGCTTCTCAACGCACTGGACGCGGTGGAAGGCTCACATGTCGCTGTGGAGAGGCTCGGCGGAGGAAAGAGTCTTGGCGGGCTTGTCGGCGCCAGTGATTAGAGATGTTGCAGGGGTGCGTCCATACTTGATGGCCGCCAAGGATGCCAATGTTGCTTTTCGGTACCTGGAGCAGATGTTCTTCAGAGCGGCAGGAGTGGATTATCGCTTTCATGATGTACTGCGCATCTGCGAGCGCGTGGGCTGGTACGCGGAGTTGTCGGCGCCGTGTCACTACACGCAACTGACACCGCAGGAGTTTTCTCCCATCTCCAGACAGCTTGGTTGGAACGCTTCGAGCAGCACCACGCTGCTCGTCGTTTGAGTAGCAGTCGTCGCAGAGCAGAGCGCTTCGCGCTTATGACTTCTTTGGACAAGGTGGAGGATCTGGAAGACGACACAGCACCCCCGGACATAGAAGGAGATGACGTCGAAGACGATTTGTGTCTGCGTGAGGAGCTGGAGAACTTGGAATGTGCACAGTGGCCGGTTGATGGGAACTCTCTGCACGAGGCAATGTTTCGAGAAGAGGAATGGATGAAGGTTCTGGGTCGACGCAAAACTTCGGTCTGCAAGATACTTTGAAGTGCTTACGTGACTTTGTCAATGGTTTGGGAGGTGTTCCAGATGCGAGAACTGATTTGGGCATCAAGAACAGTGCGATTTCTGGGCTGGATCGCAACTGGACATCTGCTGAAGCTCAGCAATTCTTGATGCTGCAAAAACAGTATTTGGAATTCTGTGTGGGAGGCAGGAGGCTTAATCGGTTGTTGTGTCTATCACTGACGATAAACTTTGTGGTTTGGTATGAAATCTGTAGACTGAAGCATTTTGTGGTTTGCGTTTATTTCGTGATGTATTTCGACGGGTGTGACTGAAGTGTTGACTTGTGAATTTGGTTCTACTTCATCTCCATGCATCAGGCACTGGAGATGATGATGATGATGATGAGATGGCAGTGGACCATGGGTTTCAGCCTTTGCAGGAGATGGAAGATGCGTTTTTGGCGAAGCTGAACGAAAAGAACATGGGTCCATCTGATTATGCGGCTGCCTTGCTGGTGGAACACAGCTTGAATCGTCAACAGATTTTAAAAATTTGGCGATCGCTCCCATTGCTTGGGTTATGGAGCAGATGTGGGTGAACCGCACCCAGCCGGAAAGCTGCAGAGCTGATGGGGCGTGCAATGAAAGTTGCAACTGTCTTTGGCTTGGCTGGTGGATCCGGGAAGACGTGCTACGTTGCGGGGGCGCCGACGCATGCGGCCGTTCGTTTGCTGGGCCAGGCGGCCAAAACTCTCCACAAATTGGCCAATGCGCACAAAGGGAGTGGCTTGGATCGTCGCGCTTTGAGAACTGCCAAGAGCAAAGGCGACCCCATCGAGAAAAAGATAGAGGGGGCCATGGCTATGTTGCTGGACGAGTTGTCGATGGTTCCGCCCGATGTCTACCACGCTGGCACGTTTCGTCTTGCCATGACTCGACAGGAGCGTTGGAGGCTGGAGATGGTTCGGTATTTGGAGCAATGGTTTGGTAACGTTCCCATTGGGGTCCAGCTGGCGGACTTTCTGCAATTGCGACCAACCGCCTGTCTGTCCTTGTGCGAGTGGCAAGACGCCCAACGGGCCACCGACGCAGCGGTGGCACCCGAGAGCGACCAGGAAGCGGAGGCGGGTGTTGAGGAGGTGGCGGCGGAGCACACCAGCAATGCTTCCGAATTGGGACGATTGGCGTTCAAGTCCTCGCTGCAGCGAGTTGTACACTTCACTTCACATCACCCCTAATCATAGCTGTTGAAACACCAGGGATTCCAAAGAGTACATGATTGTTCCTTTTGGCAAGGAGTGCCTCTGCTGGGCTCACATATTTGTAGTCTTGCTCTGGCGCTTTCAATATTTTGACTGACTTGCCAGGAGGGCATGCAGCAAGGATACTGGGAGGCCCAATGTCCAACTTTGAGGACATTTGAATACAATTCAGCATCGCCCTGTATTGACCACAGTGCTGCCCTGTGGTGCCCTTTAGTCGAGGGCTTGCCAGCAAAGGATGCCAACTCCCCTTGCCCCAAGGGTCTTCACAGGGGCGCCAACCCTTGCCCAAAGCCTCAAAAGACCATGCAATCCAAGCGTCCAACACAGGCCATGTGCTGGGCAGTGTGCAGCTCTTGGGTATTGCACAAATCAGGAGATGTGTATTGAGGCAGCTCTGCTTGGAAAGCATGCTGCCCCATGACCAAGTCATCAGGCTGCTTGTTGGGCCACTTGGGTATTGCACAAACCTTTGAGATTTGTGGCTGCTTCTTCTGGGTTTGCAGCTCCTTCACTTGCCTTCTGGACTTTGTCTGCTAAGGTGAGCTTGCCCAGTTTGTTTAGATTTGTCTTTTTCAGGGTGTGTGCACCACTTCCTTTCCCTTTTGTCAAGGGATTTTTTCCTTTTGTCAAGGACTTGCCCTTTGGTTTCCCTTTTTTCACTACCTTCATCACCTTTTTTGGAGCCATGGCTGACCACAGCTACACCTTCAACCAAATTGTCACAAACACAAAATGTACGATGAAGGCTTTCAACCCCTTGTTGAAAGGGCTGAAGAAACCTATGTCTAATTCGGTGTATTGTTTTCAACCCTTGTTGAAAAGGGCAAATGAAATCTATATGTAACTTAGTGTAGTGTGTTCAACCCCTTGCTGAAAGGGTGAGGTGAAACCTACATGTACTTTACTGTGTGGGTTTCAACACCTTCATTAACCTCAAGGGGTCACTGAATGGTTTTGCAACCTCTTGTGATTGGTCGGGTATGAGGCTTACCATGACTAGGTATACTATTGAATTTGCAAGTAAGTTGATTTAAACAAGTTTATATATTTGGAACAATTTCATTGTTTTCTTGAAGTTGTGATTGGTGGTGTTGTTTCTTGTTTCTACTATTTATCTTTTACAAAAAACAGTTTGATCAAAACTATGATTTTGAAAAAAAAACTTGCTGAAAAACCCCTTGCTGAAAGGGTAGTTGAAACCCATGGAAAAGGAAGAGGAAGAGGAAAAGGAACAGGAAAAGACAAGGAAGAGGAAAAGGAAAAGGAAGAGGAAAGGGAAAAGAACAAGGGCAAAAAAAAGGAAAAAGGTGAAAACAAGTAAAGTGCAACAGAAAAGGAAGAGGAAAAGGAAAAGGATGCTGAAAAGGAAAAGGAAGAGGAAAAGGAACAGGAAAAAAAGGAAGAGGAAGAGGGAAAAAAACACAAGGAAAAGGAAACAAGGAAGAGGAAAAGGAACAGGAAAATGAGGAGAGAGAGGAAAAGGAAAAGGACGATGAAAAGGACAATTAAGGAAGAGGAAACAAAAAGGAAACGGAAGAGGACAAGGAAAAAGGATTAGCAGAAGGAAAGGGGAACAGGAAAAGGAAAATCTAATGACCAACAATTTTGGTGAGGACGGTTGAGGAAACACAATCTAATGACTAAAACTGTGGACAAAAAATTTGGTGAGGAGAGGTGAGGAAACAAAATCTAATGACTAAAACTGTGGAACAAATTGTTGGGTGAGAAAACATGCAATCTGATCAAATCTGATCAAAATGGTTTTCATCAGATTTGATCAAATTTGATCAGATTTGATCAAATTTGATCAGATTTGATCAGATTGCATTTTTCCTCGCCCAAAAGTTTTGGTGAGGAGAGGTGAGGCAACAAAATCTAATGACTAAAACTGTGGACAAAATTTTTGGGTGAGAGAAAGTAAACACAATCTAATGACTAAAACTGTGGGCAAAATTTTGCCCACTGTTTTAGTAATTAGATTTCGTTTCGTCACCTCTCCTCACCAAAATTTTTGTCCACAGTTTTAGTCATTAGATTGTGTTTCCTCACCTCTCCTCCCCAAATTTTTTGCCCACAGTTTTAGTCATTAGATTGTGTTTACTTTCTCTCACCCACAAATTTTGCCCACAGTTTTAGTCATTAGATTTTGTTGCCTCACCTCTCCTAACCAACATTTTTGGGTGAGGAAAAAATGCAATCTGATCAAATCTGATCAAATTTGATCAAATCTGATCAAATCTGATCAAAATTGATCAAAACCATGGTTTTGATCAGATTTGATCAGATTGCATTTTTTCTCGCCCAAAAATTTGTTCCACAGTTTTAGTCATTAGATTTTGTTTCCTCACCTCTCCTCACCAAATTTTTTGTCCACAGTTTTAGTCATTAGATTTTTTCCTCAACCGTCCTCACCAAAATTTTTGTCCACAGTTTTAGTCATTAGATTTTGTTGCCTTACTTTCCTTCAGCCAAAGAAGTTTTGGCAACAGTTTTAGTCATTAGATTTTGTTTCCTCAACTCTCCTCACCAAAAAAAAGTGTCCACAGTTTTAGTCATTAGATTGTGTTTCCTCAACTCTCCTCACAAAAATATTTTTGTCCACAGGTTTAGTCATTAGATTTTGTTTCCTCACTGTCCCTCACCCCAAAAAAATAGTTTTCCTTTTCCGTTTCCTCTTCCTTTTCCTTTTTCCCTTCCTTTTCCTCTTCCTTTTCCTTTTTCCTGTTCCTCTTCCTTTTCCACTTCCTCCTAATTGTTTTCCTGTTCCTCTTCCTTTTCCTTTACCGCTTTCTATTCCTTTTCCTTGTCCTTGTCCTTTTCCTCTTCCTTTTCCTTTTCGCCTTCCTTTTCCTCGTCGTCTTCCTTTTCCTTTTCCTTGTCTTTTTCCTGTTCCTTTTCTTTTGTCCTGTTCTTTTTCCTTTTCCTTTTTCCTGTTCCTTTTTTTCTGTTCCTGTTCCTTTTCCTCTTCCTTTTCCTTTTCTTCTTCCTTTTCCTCTTCCTTTTGCTTTTGTTTCCCTTTTTTTTCATCTTCCTTTTTCTTGTCCTTTTTCCTTTTCCTTTTGTCCTTTTCCTAGTCCTTTTCCTTTTTGTTGTTCTTCTCTCTCTTCCTTTTCCTTTTGTGACATCCCCTTTTTGTCAAAAGGGGTGTCTGCACATAGCTCTACCCCACTTGGGCCAAAAAACAATTAGGAACTCAATTGCAAACATCAATATGTTGTGATGTTTCCTTTTTTTGTGGCTATTGAAAAATCAATCTTTCAAATCAATATCAAATAAAAAACGTTCAATATTATTGATTAGGATCAATTGCCAGTGCTCAGGGATTTTCTGTGTTTCAATGTATTTGTAATTAATGGTTTGCCTGCGCCTTTGCCAATGAACACACAAAATATATTTATTTAATTAATGTGTTTCTTAGGTTTTTCATCAATGAATTCACTTGCTTGTGCTCGCAAAAATGAACAAAGTATATATATATATTATTTTCTTAGGCTATTGTTTGTGTTTGCAAAGCACCTGCAAGCATGGTGAGACACTCCTTTTCTCAAGGAGTTCGCTTGCACCCCTTTTGTCATGGAGTTCATTTGCTTGTGCTTTTACCAAATAGTAAACAACCAAAGCAATTGACAACTAGTCTTTGCTTTGGGAGGAGCTTAGGTTTTACACAGCATTGGTAACAGCCCAAGCAATGTGAAACACTCCTTTTCTCAAGGGGTTGCGCAATCCTTTTATCAAGGAGTTTTGCTTGTACTCCTTTTATCAAGGAGTTTTGCTTGCACTCCTTTTGCCCAGGAGTTGCCAGGCCATACCTCCTTTTGTCAAGGAGTTGCACCATCCTTTGTCAAGGAGTTGCCATCAGGACCATCCTGTCCTTTTGACAAGGATTCAAGGAGCTCAGGCCTTGCCAAAGTCCTTGCAAACTGTTTTCACAGCTTGCGGCAGGTCCCTGTAGGTGTTGTTGCACCAGTTGCGTGCATTCCTTTTGGTCCTGATGTTGATCCCTTTTACCGAGAAGGGTTGGACCCTTTTGCCAAGAGTTTGATCTCTTTTGCCAAGGGGTGGCCCCTTTAAGTGGCTGGCCCCTTTTACTCAGGGTTTGCACAGTTGACCCTTTTGCCAAAGGTTTGCACAGTTGACCCCTCTTGCCAAGGGGTGGACCCCTTTTGTCAAGGGCACCTTGCTATGCTTCACCTTTCGTCAAGGTGTTTTTTGTGCAAACAAGCTACCAAGTGTCATATAGGTGCTGCCTCAGCCCCAATGCCTCATCCTTAGTAATGTGGTCTTCTTCCAGCCTCTTCTGGATACGCTCCAAGATCTCCAAGTATTTGGTGTGG